CTAATCTGTGAGAAATGGATTGTTACAGATTCCAGCTCTGCTGATGAAGCAGTTCCAGTTATAAAATCCCTTGATTTTGTACACTGAAGTTTCCAGTGGCCATCATGGTATTAGGCACTGGAACAGGTGAAAAACGTCTGATATGGTCTCCCCACCTGCCACTGCAGAATTTGGAATAAGGTGAACTGCTTGAGAAAAGCTGTGAAAAATGTGTGTGAAGAAACACGTGCAGCCAAAATGTTCTCCTCCTAAATGTATACATTTCTCTGGTTGACAGCCGTGCATATATGGCTTCCACAGTCCTGTAAGACAGTTTCTGGAAAGCTGGAAATGCAATTTTTTAATGAAAATAATCTGCTGGCTCAATATAGACATGCATTATCCATGCCTTTGCTGTACTGCTGGGGAGGTTTGATAATAGGGCAGTGTTTGATTCCTTGTGCTCTTTTCCATTCCTGTGTCACACAGTTTTTTTGCTGCTATTTGCAAGGCCTGAAATTACTCACTGTTAAGTATTATTAAGGAACAATTCTTAGCATTTTAGATTTTCAGGGATTGTCTTTGGCTAATTTCCACAGCATCCCTGTGAGCTGAAACAGCTCACTGCCTTTCTGCTTGCAAATAGTGTGATGTTCATCTATTCTTTGAGCAATTAATCTGTGGGACTTCCTGGTTCCTCTGGAACATGCTCCTGCAACAGGAGTAAGTCACCCTTAAAAACACACGGAAACTCAAAAGAGGGACAGGTAGTGTGTACTTCAGCATTGCTTTGGCACTGCTGCAGAGCTACAGAGTTGTTGTGGATGCACTGGGGAGCACCCAGATTTTGGAGAGGAAAATGTGTCTCCAGCTTGCTTGTTTCAGAGGTAGGGAAGCACCCTGGGACAGAAAAACGACTCTCTCAGAAGTCACCTGCCTGCCATCCTTTAGGAATGAAGGAAATCCTGCAGCTCTCACAGTACAACAGTACTGCTCTGGAAGCTGGTGCCACATGGGTTAAGCCATATAACTGTACACAGTATAAAAATGAACAAAACTACTTTCCAGTGCTTTGAAAATGGTTTGTCAGTGCCCATACTGCACAGGTTCTGTCTAGTGGTGAGAAATGCTGCTTGCCATTACACAGGCTGTTCCAGAAATGCTTAGTGATTACAGCACCACCTTCCCTGGTCCTTTTATTTAAGGAACAGTTCTGCCCTGGGGTTTATTTAATTCCTGTCTCTCCCAAAATTGAGATGGATAAGCCTTTCTACCAAAGGGATATTTTTTTTTATCAAAAAAGCGTTAACAGTTTCGTGTTCATCCTGGCTCTGTGAATATTTGTATACTGGCAAAATAGAAAGTTTAATAGCTGAAGGGTGATGCAGGAGCTGGAAGGAGAGCTTAAGGGTGAGATTCTTATAAACCAGTTTTGTCATGGAAGGAAACACCACATGCCTAATACATGTGGCATGAGCAGAGAAGCAGTGTCATGGTTATCACCTCTTTAATCACCCTCTCCATTCTGCCTCCTTGTAACTTTCAAGTGGATTAGCGGGTAAAACTAAGTACAGAGTACACAGGACAACTGGCTTACTTGTACTCAAATGCATAAGAAAGAAGCAGTCAGCCAGCCCTTCTGAACTCTGTTCTTCCAAGTATGATCAATAATTTTCAAGAGTTTTAGAGGTGCAGAGGAGAAGATCTGCGGTGCAATAGAAGTTATATTTTAGGTGGAGAATTGTCAAAGATACCAATGCCCCTGATGCATATACTACCTCTGGGCTTTCAGTAGGAGGCAAGCATGTCTGTGCTTTTGTCATTCAGTTGATAGTAGAACTGACCTAAGTACTCATGAGAAATAATTCAGTTTCCATTTTTGACCTGTTGGCAATTTGTGATCAGCTCAACAAGTATTAACATATCAACATATGTATCTCTGGAGACATGAATTATTTATGTGGGTGTTCAAAAGGTCAGAAAAGCAATTTTCTTTTGGGGATGTACGACTGGCCATGTGATTTACATGGTATTCTCTCATCCCTGATTGTGTTAGCATTTTAATTGCTTATTCCGTCTGATCCCAATTTTGATTCTTGATGAGGTCTCACTGATAGTAATTCTCACTGAACATTTATCCCTAAAAAGATTCATTTATGTGAAAGCTTGTGAATAAAGAGGTGTAAACCAGTCAAGTATCCATCTGATTTGTTATTTGAGCTGCTGGCTGATAAATGCTTATGTACTTTGATCAGTTTCAGTCATGATTGAGACGGAGACTTCAAATCAACTACCTCCCAGCAAATAATACAGGTATGAATTCAGTATGGAGGCAACTTCAGTATCATCACCCATTTTGATTGCTGTGGTACAGTATATATCCATTTCCTCCGCTGATCAGGTAGAAAAGCTACTGAGGAGATGTGTCATGCACTTTATTTTGAAACACAATGTATGACTCATTCCCCAAATATATCCACTGCATGCCTTAATAGTTTTAAGCCAGAAGATGAGCTAAGCAGCAGCAAACAACATCAAGAAAACTGGTTTGTGCCAAAAAATGCAGGGGACTGCAAAGTCCAAGGATAGGATGACAACCATGTATCCTAACAAGCAACTTCTTAGGTCCCATAAATTGGTGCATTATGACACTCAGACAGAGTTTTGAACTATCAGAAAGTGACTGGGGAGATCAGTAGGGTGACGGGCAGCACTGGAAAAGGAAGCTCTAGTTGCCTACTGCCTCTGCTTCTTGGGAAGGAAAAGAAAATGGCTATATATGTGTTCATACACAGGGGTGTGGGTTTGTGGTGCTTCAGTCAGCTCAGGGCAATGAGCTGATGTACAGCTAAATGAAAGCAGATGTACAAGGAAGATTAATGCATGTTGGTCTAACACAAATATTCATCACATGAACACCAACTTGGCCCAGCTTGCCATGCTACTGTGTCTGTTGAGGGGGTTTGATATGGTGCACAACAAGTATGTCCTTCCAGACACTTTCTTGAACGAGTTGAATGGTGAACAAAGAATAAGCTACTGCGGAGACTCTGCACGGCAGCTACTGAAGTGTTTCATGGGGAACCATGACAAAACTGTCTCCCTGCTTCTCTTTCTGACATGTCAACGTGCAATGCCAAAACACTAGGATCTTAAAAAAAACCCAAACCAAAACAAAAAAACACCACCATTTTTAGATCTCTAAAGGAATAAATGAGCAGGTAGTGTTCAGACAAAGCTCTCAAGTAAAAATAATTATCTTAAGCTGATTGTGAATGTTTACTTGATTAAAATCTTTTGCTGGTGGAATAAAAGGTTTGTTGTTTTTAACCTGACAGAAAATTTATAAAATTACTGTAGAGAGACTTTCCAGGAAAAGGAGGAAAAGCAAATAATTCTTGGGAAACCATTTCGAGTTTCTTGCCAAACAATATAAAATCTAAATTAAAAGCTGCCCTTCCACTGACTTACTTCAGTATGGAAAGTAATTTTGAAGGTATTTGGCCATTTCAATGCCTTAAATAAGGCATTTTTTCCGGTGGCATTAAGTAGAAATTATAAATTACTATAAACATTGGGCTGAGAGCTCCTCTTTTGCTGGGCTCTTGTGAGCCTATGAGTGCTCTAGACTGACTGTATTTTTTTTTCAGTGCCTGACAACTGCCGCTTCAGATATGTTGAGATGTACAGTCGATTAAAACCTCTGCAGTTCAGAACAAACTGAAATCTTTCCCAACATTTTCTAAGGCTACAGAGTTACCTTGTCCTCTTTGGTTCAGAATTTTTTATTTTGTTACAATACTACTAAACATTTTATATGCAATTATTCCATTGTTTTGACGCTGCGAAAATGTTTTTATTTGTCAGATCTAGGCAACTGAAGAGTAATAAAATTCTTTTGAAAATTGATGCTGTGAGGTTCTGGGGACATCAACCTCCTTTCAGTCCACAGCAAAATCTTATATCATGAATTTCTGCAAAATGAAAACTGTATTTACTGGACTGCTCAGAGATTTTATTTCCTTGGGATGTGCTACAAACAATAAAAATATTGCTTTTGTTAATGACATAAATACCAGGAAATTATTTTCATTAACCACGGATCAGCTTTTTTCTCTGCTTATTTAAAACTTCAAACTATCCATCAAATATTAAAATTGTTCTTTCTCTGCAGTAAACGGAAACAAAAATGCTGTACTTGGGGAAATCTGTTAATCCTTTCTAGAACCTCATATTTTAGAGGGAAGTATTAGTACAAAAAAAAAGACTTCTTGACTCAGCACAACAGTTGCAATGTGAAAAATGGAAATTCTATGACAACTGCAGCATTATTTTGCCTTGGACTTTAAGTAGTCTCAACCAGTTTGTTTAGACAGACTCCTCTGCAGTCAGTGGCAGCAGCTGGTCTGACCAACAACAGAATAAAGATTATTTTCAAAAACCTTTAGCAGGCATTTCTCTAAAAGCTACTATCATAAAGGATATAGAGACTGTGTTAATAACAAAAATTTGTAAGTGCACACCTTGTTCCTATGCTCATGGAAGACAATGACAAAGCTCTCGTTAACCTTGGTCCTGAAGGATCAAGTTGTTTCCTCTTATAACCTCCAAGTGATCTGGTGAAAGCAATTGATCAATCCTGCCACCACCATGTGGGAGAGATGTTAGACTTATGTTAGAGATGAATGCACCAAGGTGAAGTAATTAGCTCAGGTTCTGCAGTGATTATGCACTGAAGATGGACAGTACTCAGTTGCTGTCCTCTGAGCTAATCATCAAGAAATAAACTCTTCACTTGGTCGACAAGAGATTTTGAAAGACATCTTACAAACTTGGATCAACCAATATTGTGAATGACACATATTTTGGCTTATGCATTATAGAAATATATTGGGTATGTTCAGTGTGCAAGCTCACTGGACACACAGTGTTTCAACAACTTGTTCCTGTTTTGCCTAACCTGTCAATGTCTTTCAGTCCTCAGCTGTCATTTGGCCAACCCTCTCCCTCCAATAACTTACAACTTTCAATTTCTAGTGTGCAGTTTTGTTCATCCAGAGGATATCTGCGTAGGTCCATCATGCAAGCAGCTGTTGTTGTGATCCTGTAAGAGGAGGGTGAAAAAATAATGAGACTTGAAACCACATTTTACTTATTTGAGGTGGCAAGATTTTTTATAGTGGCTTTTCTCTTTGTTTAAATGTAGAATGGTTCTGCACATGGATTCCTGGCATACAGGCTTCTTAGAGCTTGTAAAGCATGATTAATTTATACAGCACAATATACTGATTAATGTATAAAGCATCAGAGCATATGCCGAATATTGTAGAGCAGGATTTTGACTGAAAACCTTACGTGCAAAAGTGCTTTGGAGAACATTCAGCGATATTTCTATTTGGGCATCTTATTTTTAATGTTCTTAATTCAGACACCTTCAAATTGTTTTGTGAATTTTTTATTTATAACTCATACTGCTGACAGCTTTCTTTTTTCATTTTATTGTCACTTACTGTTGTTTTAATTTTGTCTAATAGGTGTGTGCACTTTCATCCATGTGGTAGAAATACTGGTAATATCTTATTTATCTTTAATTATCTTTATGGTTTCATGATCAGTTTATCATTAACTATGACAATTGAACATCACCTCTTAATAATGGCATGAGCCAATCAAACGCTTGTGACATATAACATTGTATGGTGGCTACTTCATGAATGTTGAGAGTAACTGTGATTGCAGGCTGGATATTTCATATCCTTGCTCCTTCTAGAGGGCATGTGAGTTGATACATGGTCTCTAAAGATATTCTCCATAGCCTAAGATTTTTTGAAAAGCAATTCCTCTCCCTTTGTTATACCATAAATCACAGAGCATCTGAACAAATACTTACTGATAAGCCTGTGACATGTGGGAGGAAGGTTAAGAGACTTCATGAGGATAGGAGTCAAATTTTAGCTTTCTTAAAGGTCCCTTTAAGAAAGACAATCATATTGGTGTTTTCAAACTCACAAAAGTTTTTTCCTCTTTTTTTTTTTTTTTTTTTTTTTTTTTTTTGGTGATAGATGGGTTCTTAAATGCTTACAAAACTTTTGAAGCTGTGAATGGTCAAACTTGATTTGTAATTTTATTGGTCTCTCTCTCCCCTCCTCTCTCCAACGATTTCTACCAGAGAAAGGCAGATAACCTCTTTTCTTGATGTGGATTCAATCCTGTTGTTCCAGTTCCATGTTAATTAATACCACAGGAACACATCTTGAGATTTTACTTTTGATGTGCTGAAAGTCAGGCACACTTACATGCTGTATTGGGGTAACAATCCTTGCTGTCACCAACTGCTTTACTACTGTGACATGCTTCAAAATATCCTAAGTCTACAAAATTCATCTGTCATATCTAAGTATAAGGACTAGAAATGGCTGTAATGAGAACCCATCCATGAAACCATTCTGGAATACTGTGCAAAGTGCCATGAAAATGGTATATTTATACATTTTCTCAGGCTGATTTTTGTCACATTAAATTGAAATGCATGTGTCTTAAGAGGTTTTGCATTTGTCATAAAAATGGTCAAGGGCTTCAGCTGCGGTAGGACCTCATTTAGATTTGCCATGTACCAACTACACCTTACTGACAGGCAATGAGAAGACATGCAGCACTAATTTGTCAGACGCCTTCTTAATAATGCTTAAGATCATACATTAGTCACAGTTAAATGCTTTTTTAATGAAGGTGTCATAGGGCAATGTTTTGTTCCCAATTAATAAATTGGCTTCTATGGTAATTTAGTTCACCTATATCAACCAGATTTTTTTATGTACAGAAAGAGAAGTTGACATAGTGTTTTCTAAACCACTGCAGAGGTGCAACACAACCCTGCGTCATCCTCAGACTGCTCTATGATTTCAGGAACTCCCTTTAGGCTTTGGCTTTTGAGTAACGAGTTGAGTGGTGAAGTGTACCTTGACTGTGCCAGAAACTCTTGCTTGGCTAAGGTGGCGGTGGCACTGCCTGTACAAGGGACTGCTGTTGCCTGACCAAAAAGGGGAATGAGAGATAATCATCCATCCCCTGACAGCTTTGAAACCTTATTTACCTGAATTGTAGCCTGAGTGAAACAGTACCATTGTTACTGAACTTTTTAAAAACTCCAGTAATTACCAGCTTGGATTACAGCCAGGATGGAAGACAACAAGCATTTTGCGACTCTATAAGCGGCTGTTTTAAGTGAGGCCCTTTGAGCTGTCCTGGAGTGCAGTGGGATGCAGCAGCATCTCTCTCTGAGAGGGAAGCCATTCAGAGCTCACCAACTCTCAAATTTGCAATACTGGCAGAACTGTCACTGAAAACTGATGGTGAGACACGGTCTGACTCCCCCCCCCTCAAGGTTCAAGTCTCACCCACTGAGAAATGACAAGGCATTTGACCTTAGTATTTCACTGAACTTGAGGGGAATTTTTAACAGGTATACCTTGGTAAATTTATGTATACACAGATTTATGTCTGTATATATTTGTGTGTGTGAATTGACTGAAACACACTATAGCAAGTCTAACATTAATGTTGCTTCTTGGATCCATAATTAAGTCACTGTGTTAACTGTAGTAAATTCTAATGAATCCTTTTACCATGTTAAATTAGTCAATTATTAAATGCAGCTAAAGCCTTTAGACTAAACTATATGGTACTGAAATTGGACTCAGACTCACCTAGGATCTATCAGGAATTTAGAAAGCAAGGGGCCCCTCTCTGAACTTTGTGACTCAACAGGAGGGTCTCTCTTATTCTTCTTCACCCTTACTCTTTTGCATCCCCCACTTCTGAGTAAATAATTCTAAATTGATTCTAGTCAGATTTTCCTTTGTATGCTTCATCTATGTAATAAATAATAGAGTAAACCTTTCCATAGCACTTTGTGAAGTCGTACATTCATAAATTTATATAAAACCTTCTTTTAGTAATACATTTAACAGTGATTCTTTGAGTTACCTTAACCACTCATTTGACCACAGTGTTTAAGCTATTTCCTATTGGCCAGTGTATCCATACGGCTGACTTTTGCAGTTTTTACATAAGCTACATAAGTAACAGCAATTAGCTATTTTTCATAACATCATAACATAACATCAATGCAAATTAATAGTGTAGTAGTAAATAATGCAATTGTTCACACCTGGAATTTAAATACTCTACATAATTTTCCCCCCAGACATGAATTCTGACAACTGCATTGTCTTCTCACTATTTGTGCAGTTTTTGGCACCCTGCATCGTTTGGTGTTTCTGATCTCTAATACAATCCAAGAACAAAAGTTAATGTATGTGTTACTAAGACACTGTACTGCTAATTGCAGGTGGGGTCTGGAAGTAAATGCTTGGATTATGGAGCAGAAAGTTAATAAACAAAAATAAGTTAATTTTTTCTGGCAGCAGTAAGTGATCCAAATCTGTCTGGCCTGTCTATTGGTAATATCTCATCCTTCATCCTGGTTAATCACTCCTTGTGATGCTACAAGGAAAGGTAAAACAAAGCACTTCATCTATGCTCTCTGCCTCCCTCAGGTAGGTTTTGCATTCCGTATAGGACCTGTGAGGCAGCCTCTGTGCTTTAGAACTATTCTTCATACTTTAGGGAAGGTTCATACTTTGGGGAAGGTGGGGAGCAGCTTTCCCCTCATGACTCTTGCAACCCCTTAGCAGCAGTGCTGAATGCTACTGTGGCTCTCTGGTGCAATAGCAAGCAGGTGCTTCCATGGAAGAGGGAGTTAAAGGGCTTTTGCTGAAGTTTGCAGAGACAAGGGCTGTACAACCTGAGACAGGAAAGACAGTGGTAGGTAGTGGAGGGTATCTGTCAAGAAGCTTGAAACTTGTGGCTTCCAGCATCAGGAGAAAGGATCATGCTTCCCTTGTATACCCATAGCTTTGGAAGTGGTGTAGTGCCCTGTACAGGGGGATGATAAGCAGTATCTGCCCAAGGATTTGTCAGAGCCAGCTGAGCCTGAGCTACACAGCCATGTGAATGGGAAAAGGCCAATGGGAGCTGCTGGAGGCTCCTCCCTGAAGGGAGGACACAATGTTGTCCCTTCTAAAGCTGGAGGTGCTTAAACTTTATTGGGAATCTTAGGCTTCCTTGAAACTAGCTACTTGTAATTGTAGTAGGAGTCTTCACGATCCAGCAACATTCATTGCCTGTAATTCATAAATCTGCTTTTCAAGCATTTCTTTCTCCCTTATGGTAGAGCTCAGCTGTATAAAATTGTTAATGGCATTATGCTCTGGATAATCACAAAACTTGTTTAAGGAGAGAAATTAAACCCAGATGCAATCATAGTAATTGTCTCGACGAAAAAAATAAAATCTTTTATTATACATACAGTAAAATCCCAGACCTGTTAGTGGTTGTACTCTCTCAGAGGAGAGAGTAACTGATGGCTTGCACATCAGTTAAAAATAAAGACATTCAAATGCAGAATACAGGAGTGTAATGGCAGGAAGGGAAAAGAAATACTCTGAAGGTAGGGCAAAACTGCAGTAAATCTGTCTTCAAGAGGATTAGACCTGAAAGTCCCTCACACAAGCAGTTTGTGGCAATGGCTGAATATCATGAGCCTCTGTAAATGTTTAGGTGGAGGATTAATCCTACATTTGAAGCAGAACTATTTATATTTCAAAGTAGGATATGTTTCTTCCAGGCTTTCCATTCTTAAAATATGTTTTAAATTCTGGTGTTGGGGCTAATGTATTTTGTTTGTACAGTGACTTTGACCATATTGTCCTTACATTCTTTAGATTCATTTGGATACAAATGAAAAAAAATGGGATTATGCAAAGAAGGCAAGCAGTTAGGTAGAGATATATGATTACACTACTTAATTTCAATCATGTCAGTACTCAGAGATTCTGGGGTGGAATGAAGCCTGAACTGCCAACAGACAAGATAAATAGCATTTGCATAAAAGCAAAATTACCTGATTGTTTTTTTTAAATTGTGGCTTGGAGTTCAGGTTATCTGATCCACTGCTTGGCTTTGATGCCTTACTCTCTGAATATCATATTCTTACTGTAAAAGCAAGGGGTTTTTTGCTAAAAATTATATGAAAGAAAACAC